AAGAGCTACCACCCCCAGTCTCAAGTTCGAAAAGCAATAGAGGTACGAGAAAATCAAGAAGACGCTTCTTACCTTTGCCGCTTTGCAGAGTAGGGGCCACTCAGGCGCCCTAGGGAGGGCCCGGCACAGGCACGACCTGCAAGGGAACGGCCATCGTTAGACAGGCTGCCAATCAGACATGCGAATTCTTCGACATTGTTACTCGATTTTTTTCCTCCTTATAAACGTCCAGGAAAAACCCCGACAGAATTTGTTTAATTAGCGGCAACTCGCTGCTCCCCCGGTGTAGCAGTACAGCGGGTCGAGACATCGCTCTGAGCCTATACGCACACTCACACGCACACACACGCACACACACGCACACACACGCACACACACACACACACACACAACGCGCGCACGAACACACGCGTTTCCGTCAATGTTTATCTCGGCGATACACGGTGGGCACGGTCATGTCGGGGGCAGGGATTGCCTTGCGATTACCACCGCCCCGCCCCGCCCGTCACGCGGACTACGCGGACTAGGAGCTCTGCGGAGGCCTATTACCGTGGCGTTTGATCTCTGCCAACGTTGCCCTCCTCGACATGGGGCGGACATAAATTCGGACCGGGATCGCGACACACACACACACGAGGAGACAGGTGTAAGACAAGACGGGCATAAACAAGCACGCGACAACCGCCGCGAGTCCCAGTGCGGTGCGCGGGGCCTACGGGGCCTTCATCAGCAGCAGGGCTGCAGCGGCAGACTGAGAGTCGTTTTCGTCGCTCTGTCTCTCTCGCACCTACGCGGGACGCTCCATAGACTGGACGAGTCGTATCCCTCCGCAGATAGTCCCAGGACAAGGCTCCCATATGATAGCATGGAGAAGCACGCTGACAGCATAAAATACAGAATTCTTAGCAATTAAATGTTTTGAAATGGAAAGAACAGCTGTTTTAAATACGATTCAGCTCGATAAAACAAAAATTGTATTGCCTACTTCTATAATAATGTGATATAAAGACGGCCGACGAGCTATCCTCACGGTGAATTTCTCATACCCCGTAGCCGGGCCGCGCGCCAAAGCAGGCCATTCTGCTAGCATTCTGTTTTCTTTGTACACTTGAAAGTAAACTGTGCTTTGCATTTGGATGAAATCACAGATATAACCAATCTAATTTTAGGTTGAAAATGTTTTCTGGCGATTCAAGACTGTTTGTGGGAAGAAAAAGACTACCACAGAACCCAGCAGACAGGGCCATCATATCAACAACAAACCGAGGGTATGAGGAATTCACCGTAAGCTTTTAGCTCCGTCTGCAGGTTTTACGAAAATCCTTTCCTAAACAGTATTAAGACGCCAAAACTCGTCCAGAGTCGTTAAAAAATACCGCCATCACAAAAATGCACTTGCATTGCTTAAGAAATGTCTAATAAGTTTACAATGGGCACTCCGAAAATCAGTCCCATAAGATTAACATGGTAACATAGTCCCTCTGGTCCTGGCGGATGAACACAACCCCAGACCTCACTCGTCCGGCCTATGAGGACGAGGGAGGCAAAGCGACGAGAACGACTCTCGGAATCGGTCTGCAGGGAGGGAGGCTGCGGCAGGGCCTGCACGGCCGGGGCTGGAGCTGCCCGCTCCACTGGAGCCTCCACTGGAAGGCTGGAGCGATTGCCTCGTGTCTCCGTGTCGGCCGGACCACCTGGGAGCGGCGGCACTACACCGCCACTCGTTTCAAACGTGTCACTCCCGTCGCCAATTTTCCGACTTCTTTTTGTTTCCCGACCGAGCGCGGTTGGAGACTTTAACGCGCGGCAGACGCACAGCGCCATGGAGCCCTCCGCACGTCACTTGAAAGACAGGGGCGGATCCAGAGGCGGGTTCAAGGGGGGGGGGAGGTCGCGAAAGTTGCCTGCCTGTACGGACAATGTGCGACTTGTGGTCTACATTCAGGCGCCCCCTCTGGATCCACCGATGCTGCAAGCTGCGAGGCTCACTACGGGACTTGAGTGCGAAGTACCAAGCGCGGAGCAAGGCCCCGGCTTACTTCCCTAATGGCGGCTACGGAGTACCCACAGAGTCTTTTGAGCCCCCGGAGCCAGAGGAGGGCCTGGAGCCAAGGAGGGCATGGAAGCAGGAGGACCAGGAGTCAGAAGGGCCTGCATCCAGGAGGGCCTGGAGCCAGGACGACCTGGAGCACTGAAAATCCAAGTGTGGGACAGGCATGCACTAGATAACGTGGGACAAAATGTCCCACGCTTGTAAGCGTGGGACAAAATGTCCCACGCTTGCAAGCGTGGGACAAAATGTCCCACGCTTGCAAGCGTGGGACACGGTTTGTCCCACGCTTGCAAGTGTGGGACACGGATTTGTCCCACGCTTACAAACGTGGGACACCGTTTGTCCCACGCTTGTAAGTGTGGGACACGGATTTGCCCCACGCTTGTAAGCGTGTAACACGGATTTGTCCCACGCTTGCAAACGTGGGACATTTTGTCCCACGCTTACAAGCGTGGGACAGTTTGTCCCACGTTATCTAGTGCATGCCTGTCCCACACTTGGATTATCAGTGAGCCAAGAGGACCTGGAGGCAGGAGGGGCAGGGGCCAGGAGGGCCTGGAGCCAGGAGGGCCTCCCCAGTACTTAATTGCTGGCTGCCATTAGTGCCACCAGGCAGGGCTGGGCCGCGATGGGCCGGCAGGTGCCAAGCTTGCCCAACGCTGCGCGAAGCGTGCGAAACAGTGCGAAACGCGGCACTGACGTCACTCGGACGGCAACAAAGAAAATTCAGCCGCCCAGACGAAGCTTCTTCTGCCAACGTCTAACGAAATTGGTCTGAATTTTCAGAAATTTACTAACAGTGGTCGGGATTTCTAGAGACCACTGGCAGGACCCACTGTAAGTGCAAGAACCCACTGCTTAGGAGCGTTTTTCACGAGCGAAGAAAAAGAAACTCAATTTAATTTCACCTACGCTGCAGCCCGATGCGCCTTCAAATTACTTCCACCAAGGTGCCTTTTCCGCGACGTACTCCGAGCGTCTATCCCGAATAGGGGCGGGCGACGGATAGAGCATAGAAGCGCGACGTGTGGATAGAGCGGCCGCGGCACGCCCTCCGCGAAGGGCAATCATCATTTAGCGTCCATCACGTCCAGGACGACGACGACGCTCGTCAGCGGCGCCAGAAAAAGCAGACACATTTCACGTACGGAATGAATGCTTGGTTCTGTGAGGCTGTGCGGCGCGCAGTGGGCCAGAAGACCGCTGGAGGCTGTCAAAATCCCAGACGCTTCTTGAGCATCAGAATCGCTAAATGGGACTCGAACCCAACGTGTGACCCCCACCAATGGATTGCTCTCCGAACGAGGAATCTATTGATAGGGTCACACGTTCGGTTCGAGTCCCATTTAGCGACTCTGGAGCTCAAAACGCGTCCGGTATTTTACCCGCCTCTGCCCGTCTTCTGGTCCACTGCGAGGCGCAGCGTTGACTATAGCGCCAGAAAGGACGTGCCGACACCGAACAGGCCGGTCCAGGCTCCTGGGCAGGGCGTTTGATAAATACCCCGTCTCCCTGAACCTGATAAAAAGCGACTTCATCGCCGGGAGTCGCGCCCAGGCGGCCCGTCCAGCCTCGCGGCGCTCTTCATCACGCGCGGCGCGTGGCCCGGCTCGGCGCACCGGCCCGGCTCAGCCGTGGCCCGGCTCGGCTCAGGCTCCGCTCCGGCTCGGCTCGGCAGGAGATTGAATACGCCCCGCCGCGAGCCGGCCGGGTAGCACGGTGGCGAACAGCGCTTTCACTCGCACTCACGGGGCGCGAGAGAGACACAGCGACGAGAACACCTCGGTTCGGCATCAGCCCGCTGGGCGCCAGCACACATCATCAGAAATAATGCAACGGGAGAGACACTGGGAAATTTAACGCCGCGTGGAAGAAAAGACGACAAAAACCTTTCAAGTACGTAGTGATGAGCCGACGGCCTGATGATGGCCATCAAAAACAACAACTAACGACTTTCTCTATGGCATTCCACCACATTTGGGGGAAGAAGTTGAAGAAAAAACACTGTGAAAAATCTGTTTCATCAAGCACCAGCGGCACACAGTGGGCCAGAAGACCGGTGGAGGCGGTCAAAATCCCGAACGCGTTTTGAGCTCCAGAGTCGCTGAACAGGACTCGAACCGAACGTGTGACCCCACCAATGGATTCCTCGTTCGGAGAGCAATCCATTGGTGGGGTCACACGTTCGGTTCGAGTCCCATTTAGCGACTCTGGAGCTCAAAACGCGCCTAGAGTTTTGGCCGCCTCCACCGGTCTTCTGGCCCACTGTGCGGCGGCAGCGGGCCCCGTTGATGGGCGAACACGTCGCGGGACAAGCACTCCCCGAAAAGAGGCGCCAACGCGTCGCGTGCCGCGCCACGCGTCGTCAACACGGCCGTGCGAAAGCGTGCGCGACACGCGCGTGACGCGAGCGTGACGCGTGACGGCGTTGTCTGACGAGGAAAGTCGACGGACACACGCGACTCGCCCCCTCCAGGGTCCTAAGCCCAAGCTCGGCGGTTCTCAACCTTTCCCGACTAGCGACTGAAAAATTATCGCGAACAGCCAAAATTAGCTCTTGCGGCCCGATCTTGGCCTGGAGGAATGCTCTTAGCCTCTGCACAGTAGATGTCTTACGGTGAAAGGCTGCAGCAACTTATTATGGTGGAGATTTTTTCCATAATACCAACGAAATTCGTCAAAATATCTGTAAGGTACAGTGAATTCTCAATGGTATGTTACGAAGTCAGCTGCACTACCATAATATGGAACATTTTCACCATACTATGGAGAATCTTCACTGTAGAACATTTAGAGTGTGGAGGAAAATGCGTTGGCCTGGAGGAAGTGCTCTTTCGGCCTGAGGAAAATGGCCAGACGAATATATCGCAACCCCGTTCGAATTTGTGCTGTTCCAGGCGGACCGTTCCAGCCGGAGCGACCCTGTTGCCCACTTTGCCCTGCTTTGCACTGCTTTGCTGCCCTGCCTGCACGTACTAGTGCACGTCGCACCGCGGCCAGCGACTCCACGGCGTTGATGTAGTTGTCCAGGCCGCTCTGCGGCGCTCCTTGGCGCTCGGCAACGCGTTCGGCGTCGCCAAGCG